GTTGTTTGCAGGTGAAATCGGATGAAGCAGACTTTTGCGGACTAAAGTAGATGTTTGCGGATGAAATCAGATGTTTGTGGATTAAAATAGATGTTCGCGGATAAAAGTAGATATTCACGTATAAAAGCAGATGTTTGCAGGTGAAATCGGATAAAGCAGACGTTTGCGGATAAAATCAGATAAAACCGGGTGAATGCAGATATAAACCCAAATACAGGTATTTGCGGATGAAACCAGATGAAAGCAGACATAGAACTAAATAGATAAAACCCGACGTTCGCGGATAATATTTATACCCGCAATTGCAGATAAAAACCGACATGCCGGGTAAAATCAGATATGTCGGATGAAAACAGATATAAATGGACATAAAACTAGCTTGGTTTTTTATCCGCAATCATCCGATATTACCCGTATTTTTCAGCAGGGAAGTTAAACACAAATCGCTGCTGTTTCCCATCTAACCGATTTCCGGGCATTCTTATCAGAATCGTACGGATTTTTGCTAAACTTGAATACCGAAAAACTAATTTCATTATAAAAATACCTACCTTATTTGAAGAACGCCGCTGAGCACGTCACAAAAACCTAACCTCTCCAACAACAAACTAATGCGCTCTGTCCTTGTTTAACACACGTTGCGACGACTACACTTTGGTACCAATTTAAACATAAAATTCTGAAAAACAAAATAATTTAAGTATAGGAAATAAACCTGGTTTAAACCACTAAGTCTTGACAGCTATAGCCTAAAGGTTGCATATACAAGCACTATGCTCCACAGTGTGGAGTCCACACCTCAAATTCCCACCACGTGACTACGTACCATAGACAAGGGATTGGTTGGGTGGAATTTTTAATAAATAATAAAGTCATGGGAGTTTTAAATATTTTCACATTGCAAGTTTCTCTAAAAATTGTTTGTTTTATTATAATCTAACTTAAATTTAATACTTAATACCTCTCAGCATACCTACTTAAATAGGTATGCTGAGAGGTATGCACAAGTTTTGTCATTAGAAGTATAAAAGCTTCAATTTAATTTGAACCATATTCAACAATTATTTGGTATACCTATATTTATATGACCATATTAACACACTTATGGCACGCCGTTTTATTTTTTAATGTCATGTTTATTAAAGCTAAATATTAATTTAAGTTGCGTTTTTAAAAATTAACTGAACATTTTAAAGTAAAAATTTTATGATGTCTTGGTATATTAAGTACACAATTTTGAGCACAGAATAAGAGCTCTTATTACTTTAACTAGTTAAAGTAATTTTAATTCTGGAACTGAATGGCGTATTTTCTGACTAAAAAATTCGATGAATTAAATTTTGGGTTGAGACAATTTTAATAAGGCGCTACTTGAGAAACACGCAGTCAAATTGAACCAAAATTTTAATTCATCGAATTTCTTAGCCAGTTAATTCAAGGTGCGCGACATTTATTTAAGAAAAAGTAATACTGAAATTATCATTATGTCGCAATTATTTTCTATTATTACTCGTAGACATAAAAATCAATTTACCTGTTAGAAATTAAAGTGATAAAGTTTCTTATTCGACTCACAAATATTTTGCACGAAATATTTGTTTTAATATTTAAATGTTTTTAATATTACTGAAAATTTTATTTGACTTATAAGAATCGAATACAATTTTATTTTTATTGTTATTTTTAAAAATTTTAATATTTACTTTTAATACGAATTATTTTGTTGTTTGAAACACTTTGAAACAATTTTTATACGGGAATAAAGTTGTGGTATAGTTGTTATTAATTATTATGTTTTTTAAATCTAGCAATACGAATTTTCATTTAAGAATCTTTCTGCCATATTTCTTTTAATCCGATTATTTTTTTAGATAATAAATTCAATGCTACTTGTATGTTACAAAATAATAATTCCTTATTTTTATTGTTTGGAATAAATATTATGTACATCGAATTTTCTGACTGAAAAATTCACTGAATTAAAATTTTAATTTGGCGCTAGTGCATAGTGCGGTTGTGTCACGTACTACAGCCACCAAACGAAATTACATAACGTCTAAGGTACATAAGCTCGAAAATAAATTAGGCAACGGTGCATTTAAATTCAGTGCTGCCATTTCATTTACTTACCTGTTTTGCTTTCCTTAATTTCTTACCTAATTTATTGAAATAAAACTAAAGAAAATCCTTTTTACCAAAATATTGGTTTTTATTGACTAAAAGATAAAAAACAATACAATATTTTCAATCCACCATTAATTACATTCATGTTAAGTTTGTGGATTATTTTCAATTACGTCTTATATTCTTTTTCTATGCTTATTACTGTACAGGTCGGACACGTAACGAGTAGGACAATTCTGGTAATTATATAAATATCTTCTGCGAGAAATCCTATTGCATAGACAACTAAGCAAATAATGAACCACAATTAAATTGTCTATTAGGAGAGTCCATATCTAAATTATTTCGTATAAAGTGAGGTTAGCCGGCAGGGCAGTCTTGTTGAAATGCACCCCTTACATAATTTAATAATCATTATCATGTCGATATCCATATAATGTATTACATTATTGATAGCACTGAAAATTTTGGACTGCACTGTTGCCTAATTTATTTTCGAGCTTATGTACCTTCGACGTTATGTGGTTTCGCTTCGTGGCAGTAGTACGTAACACAACCGCACTATGCACTAGCGCCAAATTAAAATTCTGTTTACGAGTGTTAACCAACATTTTAATTCATCGAATTTTTCATCGAGAAAATTCGCCTTGCGCTTACAGATTTAAATCTTGTCTAATTTTTATTCCAATATAAATATTCTACTTTAACTTAATTTTAAATTAATAAATGAAATATTATTATTTACATATAAGCACCTTTTTTAAATAGAAAAAAAATATTCATACAATAAAAACTGAGGCTTAAAAATATAGATCACACCAGAATGATGTAATTATATATGGAAACACACCGGATACACCAAAAAATAAATTGGTAGATTTTAATTTATAATTAAATTTGTTTTAGTAATTTTTATGAACGTTTATATTTTCTAGGCAATTTTTAATTTCGGTAATTTTTGTTTTGAGTTAATTTTTTGATGTCATTTAAAAGTAAAAAGGCGTGCCATACACACTCTTTCAAATAATCTACACTGGGGACATATCGATAAAGATAAAGGGTAGGGATAAAAGTTGCGATGTTGACTAGAGAACCTAGATGACCATTAATCCCTCACAATGTGCATTCAAAGTTTAAATTTAACGGTCAATACTTCCTTTTAAGCAACGAAACGTCCCGTATCATACCGATATATGTTTTAAAATGACCACAAAAAATGCATAATCGTGTTAGGAAAGGTCTAAACATTTTAGTTACAGGGACAGTGTACAACTAAATTAAGTTTTGAACAATAAAATAATGGAATCGAAATTTTTACATTAAACAAAACCTTAAAAGCCAAGAACATTTCGTAAAAATAGCTAAATGAAAAGGTGTTAATATCGAGTAAAATTAGCTACACATAACGTTTAGTGGACTTTACTACATAATTTGGGCTACTAAAACTAACTTTGGAGAATACACTAACACTTGTAACAATTATTTAAACAACTTTACAATAAATTTCGTTTTAGCAAAAATTTATAGGACGCGATGCGTTCGATACCATTTTCAAAAACCTGCCTGTTTTGTGTTCCCTTTACTCGCTTCGTGTACCATCGTTTCTTCTATCATCTGACACCAGATTTTTAGACAAGGTTCGAAAAACTTGTAATTTATTTACCTAAATTTCCCTTTTTACCTCCTTTGCAAAGCTTTTTGCCTTTAACACCATAATTTAGATATTCCAAATTTATTCAAAAATAAATTTGTAATAGTAATTTACGTTACAAGGCCGGGAAATGGCTTATTAAAGTACGAGTCTAGATGTTTACGGACGAGGCGACGAAGGAGCCGAGTCTGGAATTTCTAGACAAGTACTTTAATGACATTTCACGGCCGTGTATCGTACAATGTTTTATTTCATACTATTCAATATTTTTTTCAAGTTTTTGGTACAAAAATTGAACTGTATATTCAGGTGAAGGTGTCAGTAATGTGTCAGTACATGATGGTATCAGTATTGTCTAAACAAACTATAAAATGTAGCACCAGTAATATAGGGTGATAATGTAGTATGCTTTAAGTCGGTTGCTAACAGTAACAAAGAGTTTTTTTTATTGATTGTCTTGTCTGTCAGTTCAGCATCGTTTTGAATCTGTGGTTTTGAATAATTTCGAATAAAATGGATGCAGAGATTTTGAAAAAAAGTTCTGAAGCGACGGCGAAACTTATCCCGGTCAAGTCTTCCGGACGATATCAAAAGGAATACGAGATATTCTGTAAATGTCGCAAAAACCTATAATCGTTCAGAAATAACCATGTGTTAGTTAAAATATACGAGTCCGGTAAAGTTACTTTACCGGCCTAGTGATGTAATGTATCATTTCCCGGACTCAAATGAGTCCGGGAAATGGCACATTAAAGTACAGTATGAAATAAAATGTATTACAGTACTGAACCATCACAATACATGGATTGACTGGTAAAATTTTATTGCAAAGTCATTATATTTATTTGTTTACTGGGACCCACTTTAACTATCGCTTTAGTTATATAATGCACAGCGAGAAAAAAAATTGAGTTCTGAGCTTTCTCTAGCCTTTAAAAAGAAAGTAGATTTTCCAAATCGACTACTATATATATATATATATATATATATATATATATATATAGCCACCTTTCCGATCACTGTGGGGCGGTTTAATAGCGTCTGCTAAATTTTTATTTGCCGCCATTGTCAATAATGTTAAAATACTATTATACTTGTATTTTAGTCATTTAATATAAAATCAAATGATTGACAAAATAGACAACAATTTAAATAAAAAATCTAAAGCACCTTATATAATTAAATCCATGATTGCGTAGTAATAATTTCTATTAACTTTTTATAGATTGCTGTTGTTATGGGATCCTGTACAGCAGGTGGTGCATATGTTCCAGCAATGGCAGATGAATCTGTTATAGTTAAGGAGCAAGGAACTATTTTCTTAGCAGGTCCTCCCCTTGTAAAAGCTGCTACCGGTGAAGATGTAAGGCTATTAAAACAGATAATAACTTTAATATTAAAAATGTCCTTAGGTTTCATCAGAAGATTTGGGTGGGGCAGAATTGCATTGTTCCACTTCAGGAGTTACGGATCACTTTGCATTAAATGACGAGCACGCGTTGCACCTGGCTAGACAAATAGTAAAAAACCTAAACAAAAAAGCACAAGATCCATACAATGTCCCTTATGAATTTCCTTTATATGACAACCAAGAACTGTATGGTATCGTCGACCCAGAACTCTTTAAACCTTTTGATGTTAGAGAAATTATAGCACGAATTTTTGACGGCTCTAAATTTGATGAGTTCAAAAAAAAATACGGCGAAACTTTAGTGTGCGGTTTTTCTAAACTGTATGGGAAAACTGTTGGCATTATCGGGAACAACGGAGTTCTTTTCTCTGAAAGCGCTATGAAAGGAGCACATTTTGTTCAACTATGTACTAAAAGGAATGTGCCTATTATTTTCTTACAAAATATTACAGGTAATAACTTAAAAACCTAAATTTAATAATAATAATTATAATTTATTGCAACGATTAGAAAAGTCATAGAGGTTTATTAAAAAAGAAATAATTCTCATTTGCCCAACGAAAATAGGAGTTTTTGGGTAGTAAGCAGTGATTAAAAAAAACGCAAATCTTCGGCAATAGATTTCACTTGCAAATCGCTTCACCTCTACGCGTAGTGATCAATTTTAAATGGTATGGAAAGTATCGCTCTCTTAAATAAAATAAAAACAAACTGCGCACCACTCAATGTGTCGCGACCAAAAAGTTCGTTCTTTTTCAAAACGACATAACTTTTTTGTTTCTTGGACTATTTTATTTTGGTCTGTGTTGTCTGCTAGCCTCATCCTTTGGCAATTCATGTTATAGATATGAAGCTCCCGGTTCTTTAAGTAAATTTCCTACAGGGTGATATGTTAAACGGTGAAAAATTTTAATAACTTCATCCAAGCCCCGTTTGTAACAAAATAATTTTTTTTCTCGTTTTTACTTTAAAATAATGAAGTATTATGTCTTACCTTGTACCCTTTTTCGAATTGGAATCTTAGCAACGAAAATATGATTTTTTTCAAAAGGGTACATTTTAGGTTTTTTTTTAGGCAATACACTCAGTCTTTTTAGGAACAAGAATTTAAGATGGTGTAACAAAATAATTTTTTTTCTCGTTTTTACTTTAAAATAATGAAGTATGTCTTACCTTGTACCCTTTTTCGAATTGGAATCTTAGCAACGAAAATATGATTTTTTTCAAAAGGGTACATTTTAGGTTTTTTTAGGCAATACACTCAGTCTTTTTAGTAACAAGAATTTAAGATGGTGTAATAATGTTCCTTAAATAATTCTGAACAAGCGACAAGCAACAAACTCCCATTATTTTCAGAGGGCCTAAGCAAAGACCACTTTTTCAAAATAACATTTTGGTGAAAATTTGAGGAAACTAAACCTAAACCGATATTTACGTTCGTGACATGTTTTATTCATAATTTTGACCGCCTGATTGTGATTCAGTTATCAAATTTAAACCCAAAATCACCAAGAATCAAGATTCGAAAACAATTCCCGGCTGTTAAATGTCTCAATAAAATACGATTGCTGGTTTTTACTATTTTTTTACTGTGTTTGCATCTTTAGTACGATATTATCATGTCCGAGAATCCAATGAAAATTAGTTCTTGAAAAACATTTAAAACGCATTATGAGGGATATTCTTGATTTTTTCAGTTTGCTTGTGTTTTTCAAAATTTCGAAGGTATACCTACTTACCTACACTATCTTACCCAGGTTACTTCCATTCTTCCTTTAAATAATTAAAATACCAATGCTAGACTTTGCTGCAGCTACGGGAATTAACATCTCCAAATCAACGGTTCGCATAAAATTTCACGAAACGAGAGGCAAGGGTGGCTTTTGGAGGTGGAGGAGTGACTGTTTGGGGTGGAATGGCGATGAATGGAAAGAGTGAATGCTGAGAGATATAGAGATTTGGTTGTTAGTGATATCGTGGTCCCTTATGCTCAAAATGTTGCCAATAATTGGTGTTGGTGGACTACAATGCCCTCCCGCTAGGGTGGAGTGAATTTTTTTTTTTATTAATTGATTTTTCCTATATTATTAATTGTTGACTAAAGGCATAATGAATAAATATCGAAAAAATATTCCAATTTTTTAATATCTTGAGGTGGCGCATCAGTCTCGAAGTTTTGAAAATTCTAAAAAAATATTACTTCAATCAAAGTAATGAAAATAGCATTATTTATAAATAAAAAGTTTATTTTAGTAAAATTAACGTGAAACGTAAACATATTTAATAGTAAATCATATGCTTTAAGTAACTTCAGGAGTGTTTATTGGTAGAAATGAGATCTTTTTTGCGAAAATACTGACATTTGGTATCAAAATTTGGTAATTATTTTCTGACTTTAATTCTTGTTCTGATGAAACCATCTCTTGCTTCCGATCCACAAACCGAGACTGAAGATTTAGTATACTGGTTAACCAGTTTTACACAGCTTTCCACTGCTTGGGTGTGACAAGGAAATTTTTGGAAGTATAGGAAATGGTCACCCGAAGAAATCATATCGGTAATTTCTGTCATCGAATTTCATAGTCATAGGTGGTTCAGTTACCTTTTCTGTCGAAATATTTATCCCGAAAACCTATTACTTGCTATGTTACCTACAATATATCTATCGATCAGAGAACTGGCATTGCCAAAAATATTAAAGGCGAGAAAAGAATCAAAATGTTCGAGATTACGGGAATTAAAGCTTCCACAACTAAAAAATGAAGCATTACATTTTTACGAGTTAATTCACTGGGCGACAGAAAAGTTAACTGAACCACCTATGACTATGAAATACGATGACAAAAATTACCGATATGATTTCTTCGGGTGACCATTTCCTATACTTCCAAAAATTTCCGTGTCACACCCAAGCAGTGGAACTGGTTATAACCAGTATACTGCATCTTCAGTCTCGGTTTGTGGATCGGAAGCAAGAGATGGTTTCATCAGAACAAGAATTAAAGTCAGAAAATAATTACCAAACTTTGATACCAAGTGTCAGTATTTTCGCGAAAAAGAAGATCTCATTTCTACCAATAAACACTCTTGAAGTTACTTAAAGCATATGATTTACTATTAAATATGTTTACGTTTTACGTTAATTTTACTAAAATAAACTTTTTATTTATAAATAATTTTATTTTTATTACTTTGATTGAAGTAATATTTTTTTAGAATTTTTAAAACTTCAAGACTGATGCGCCACCTCAAGACATTAAAAAATTGGAATATTTTTTCGATATTTATTCATTTTACGCCTGTAGTCAACAATTAATAATATAGGAAAAATCAATTAATAAATAAAAAAAATTCACTCCACGGCGGTAGCCCGCATTGCGCCAATATCGTAAATGATTATTTAAGGGACCACCATATTGGGAGAATAAATTGTCCACCTTTGTCTCCGGATATTAATCCTATTGAGCATGTGTGGAGCAGGATGAAACTGAAGATGAAAGAGAGGGAAGGACGCATGGAAAATTTGGATGAATTGGTAAATGCTATTCAGGAAGAATGGGATACCCCAGGAATTTATAAAGAACTTGGTCGAGGCCCAGGGTTAACGAATTATTACGGGTTAGGGGAGGGCCAACGAAATATTGAAAGTTATTTTTGTTATTGTTTGTTAAATTTTTTCCCATAAAATTTTTCAAAATGAACAAACATTTTTTTATTTAACTTTATTACCAATTAGGTAGGTACTTATCAATGATAAGTTATCACAAGTGCGCAATGTAAATGTAACTTATGTAACATTATCCTAACCACTCAAACAAATTGCAGTAATTTCGCCCAAAAAATGAATCCCCAAATGGCATTTTAATAATAAATATGCAAAAAACACGCCAGCAATCGAATTTTATTAAGACATTTAACAGCGGGGAATTGTTTGGTAATTTTGGTTTTATCTGAAACTTAAATTTGACAACTGAATCACAATTAGGAAGTCAAAATTATAAAGAAAACATGTCACGAACGTAAATATCGGTTCAGGTTTAGTTTTCGCAAATTTTTACCAAAATGTCATTTTTAAAATGTGGTCTTTGCTTAGGCCCGTCTGAAAATAATGGAAGTTTGTTGCTTGTCGCTTGTTCAGAATTATTCAAGGAACAATCTTTTACCATTTTATCTTCTTGTTCTTAAAAAGACTAAGTGTATTGCCTACCACAAACCCTTAAATGTACTCTTTTGGAAAAAAAATCATATTTTCGTTGCTAAGATTCCAATTCGAAAAATTTGAAAAACTTTTCAAGGTAAGACATAAATAATACTTATTATTATTATTTCAAAGTAAAAACGAGAAAAAATATTTCTTTTTTCAAACGGGGCTTGGATGAAGTTATTGAAATTTTTTACTGTTTTACATATCACCCTGTACGAAATTTACTTGAAGACCAAAATAAAATCGTTTAAGAAACAAAAAAGTTATGTCGTTTTGAAAAAGGATGAACTTTTTGGTCGCGTTACATTGAGTTTCGACCTTTATTTGATAAAACTCCATGTCACTAATGTATAATGTAATGCATTGAGACATGTTAAACAGTGTTCCCAGATGAAGTGCAGAGAGAATCGTGTTATTAGGCTACCGAAAATCGTGTAAAATCGTGTTAAGTCGTAAACATGTTAAATGATATTTTAGAAATACATAAAAACAAGTTATAAAAATACAATATTTATTAAAAAAAAACCTTTTTTCTGTTAAAAAAATACCATACCAATGGTATGATACCATGCATAAACTGGGCCTTTCTTACTTGCCTGGACCCACTTTCACCCTTTCTCCCAATCTTTTTTTTATTTCTGTTTGTAGTCAGCACTTCCCAGTCTTTTTGGAGGTCTGCAATAAACGTCTTCCGTTTCTTGTACATCACTCTTACTATTAGAAGTATTAGACATTTTATTTACTTCAAAATAAAGTATTAAAACATTGGCGATGCGCGCGATCCGCTTAAAGTAAAATAAGAGCTGTGGGAAATACCCAAAACACAAGCTTGAATAGGTTCCATTGGATAATTCTCAGAATTAATCGCCAGTGTCGGTAATTTATTCGCGTAAAAAAATTCCTCATGACCGAAATATTTATAAACAGGAGCAGACGTTTTACATTTGCATTAAATGTGCCGATTTTTTACAGAACGGCAAATATCGAGAAAATTGGTCCTTGATTCGTGTAATCGTGTAAAAAGGACCGAAATCGTGTAATCTGGCAACACTGGTGTTGAATTATGGTGGTAATGAAACACTGGTGGTCGGTTTAAAGTTTCGTATCGAACTCTCTTTATTCAATAATTCTATATTTTATTACAATTCTGATGTGGTCAAGTAATGCTTATTGCACAGTTTGCACTTTGCGGATTATTGACCTACGAATGTTAAGTGTCATGATTATGTACAGTGAATGAACTATAGT